TGAAGAAGGTCTAGGCCCGAAACGTCAGCCTTCCTGCTCCTCTGATGCTGCTCGGCCTGCTGTGTTCATCCAGCTCTACACCTTGTTATCTCACCCCTTGTAGTTGCTTGGTTACACAGAATTTTGAGTTTTGCTGAAAGAAAGACACCTGCTACTGAAACTTTTCACCTTACACTCATCAGGGCAGACACAAGAATGCCAAATTTCACAGGGAACAACAATTTACATTGCTTGAGAAAAGGGTGCAGATTGGTTGGCCAGTCAACTCTCATTAGTTGAAGTGTTGGCATGGGGAATGAACTGAGAAACTGTTGTTCCCCAAGTTTTTGTTGAATTGAAAAATATACAATTAATTCCTGGACATGTTCCTTTATTCACAGGAATTCAGGGCCCCAGTCTGAATACATGTAGCTTCCAGAAGCCAGAGGTTAAGACACTGCTCAGTTGCAGTCTAACCAATAATCTTCAATGTGATTATCGTGTAATTCTCAACACACTTGCACAGATATATTCTGTTCAAAGGTTTCATCCTGGCTAAGGTTGATTACAGATATTTCCTAAATCAACACGTTCAGTGATGTTATGACACACCTCTAGAGCAAATGGACTTGAACCCTGGGCCTCCTAGCTCAGAGGCAGGAGCATTACCACTGCAACACAAGAGCCCCTTAAGTTTGACTATGAAGTTGTAAGCTAGATTAGTTTATAAAATGGAAGATAGCCATTTCGGACTAAATGCAAGGCCTTTAGGAGAGAAGCCAGCTGAGCTGGTTTTACACAGGGGGTTCACTGGGATCGTGAATGGAGCTGGTAGCTGACAGAAAGGGGACAGAAGGTGAGAAGAGAGAGGCTGAAAGAGGAAAGAAGAGGAGTACAGAGGGGAAAACGTGAGACAAGGAGGGGCAGGGGAAAAGTGCCTGAGGGAAGAGGGAGGGTAGAGGGGGGCAAAATGAAAAGGGAAGGGCAGCTGGAATAGTACAACAGCAATTATGTGTACAATGGACTTTACAAAGCTGTAACCAACCAACAACAGATGTGAGAGGGAGCAATGCAACAACAGAAACTGGAACTCATCTCTGAATGAGGGAAAGAACCAGGCCACTGCGTCCCCCTCTCCCACCTTCTGTTTAAGCATTATCCTTTCACCACCCTCCTGGCCCCAAAGCCTCATTCACCTCTTCCACTCCGAACGCCAACCTCCGTGGGCCGTTAGACTAACACTCTGCCTTAAGATCCCAACTGGCCAGTATTCAGAGGTGAGCTCTGGTCAATATTTACCCCTCAACAACATCACACAAAGAGACTATCATGTCATTATCACATGGCTGCCTGTGGAATAAGGCCATAAGATGTAGGAGCAGAAGTAGGCCATTCTGTCCATCAACTAGTCTGCTCCATCATTCAATGAGATCATAGCTAATCTGGTAATCCTCAACTTCACTTTCCTGTCTTTTCTCCATACCCCTTGATTCCCCTCACCAATTAAAAATGTCTATCTCAGCCTTGAATATACTTAACAACCCAGCCTCAACAGCCCTCTGTGGTAAAGAATTGTACAGACTTACTGTCCTCAGAGAGAAGAAATTCCTTCTCAACTCTGTCCTAAATGGGTGACCCCTTATTCTGAGATTATACCCTCTGGTCATCTTCCACAAAGGGAAACAACTTTTCTGCATCTCCCCTGTCAAGCCCCCTCAGAATCTTTCAATAAAGTCACTTCTCATTCTCCTCAACTCCAATGAGAACAGGCTGAACCTAGTCAACCTCTCCTCAGATGAAACTCCCTCTACAGCCAGGATCGACTGAGTGAACCTTCTGTGGACTGCCTCAAAAGGGGAGTATACCTTTCCTTAGGTATGAGGACCAAACCTGTTCACAGTATTCCAGCTATTGTCTAACTCAGGCCCAGTTTATTTGCAGCAGGAATTCCCCATTTTATATTCCATTCACTTTGAAACAAATGCCAACATTCCATGTGTATTCCCAATTACCTGCTGGACTTGGACAGTGATTTATGCACAAACACTCCCCTAACCTTTTGTACTGCAACCACTTTCTGCAGTTTATCTCCATTTAAATCATATTCACCTCCCCGTCCTTCTGGCCAGAGTGCACAACCTCACATTTTCCCATATTTTATTCCATCTGTCAATTCTAACGCCATACGAGGAAAGGTTGAGAGCGCTAGGGCTTTTCTCTTTAGAATGACGAAGGATGAGAGGTGACTTGATAGAGGTGCACAAAATGATCAGAGGTATAGATAGAGTGGACAGCCAAAGACTTTTTCCTAGGGTGGAGGTAGCTATTACGAGGGGGCATAGTTTTAAAGTGAGTGGAGGTAGATATAGGGGAGACGTCAGAGGTAGGTTCTTTACTCAGAGAGTGGTAGGGGTGTGGAATGCATTGCTAGAGAGGTTAGTGAAGTAGGCCTCAGTAGGGGCATTTAAGCAGCTATTAGATAGGCGTATGGATGATAGTATAAGGTAGTGGTGGAAGTTAGATAGACCTTAGGATTAGGGTAAAAGTTTGGCACAACATTGTGGGCTGAAGGGCCTGTACTGTGCTGTACAGTTCTATGTTCTATATCCCTCTGTAAATGCTTTGTGTCATCCTCACCGCCTGCTTTCTCACCTAATTTTGTCAGAAGTCACATGGCACCAGGTTATAGTCCAACAGCTTTTGGAGCAGCTTGAGTTTTCAAATAAACCCGTTGGACTATAATTTGGTGTCATGTGATTTCTGACCTTGTCCACCCCAGTCCAACACCGGCACCTCCACATCATGGCCACCTATTTTTGTGTCAGTCACTAACTTGGCTACAGGACATTCACTTCCCTCATCCAAGTTCTTAACATATAGTAAACAGCTGTGACCCTAGCACTGATCCCTGTGGGACTCCACTAACTACAGGTTGTCATCCTGAAAATGTCCTCCTTATCACAAACTATTTGTCTTCTATAAACTAGTCAATTTTCTATCCATGGGACCATACACCTTCCAACACCAATGGGCTCTTATCATATTAAGTTGCCTCATGTGTGGTACCTTCTCAAGTGATGAATCATGAATCATAGTCTCTACAGTGTGGAAACAGGCCCTTCGGCCCAACAAGCCCACACCGACCCTTGGAGCATCCCACCCAGACCCATCCCCCTATAACCCACACACCCCTGAACACTACAGGCAATTTAGCATGGCCAATCCACCTAGCCTGCACATCTTTGGACTGTGGGAGGAAACCGGAGCACCCAGAGGAAACCCGCGCAGACACGGGGAGAACGTGCAAACTCTGCACAGACAGTCGACCGAGGCTGGAATTGAACCTGGGTCCCTTGCACTGTGAAGCTGCAGTGCTAACCACTGAACCACCATGCCGTCAAAAGCGTCTTTTGAAAATCCAAATACATTGCATCCACAGCTTCCCCCTTATCCATCCTGTTTGTCACCTCCTCAAAGAATTCCAGGAAATGTGTCAGCCAATGACTTCCCCTTCATGAAGCCATTCTGACTCTGTTTGATCATATCATGTATTTTTAAATGATCTCCTATTGTATCCTTTATAACAGACTCTGACATAGAGTCATAGAGATATACACCATGGAAACAGACCCTTCGGTCCAACTTGTCCATGCCAATCATATAAATCTAATCCCATTTGACAGCATTTGGTCCATATCCCTCCAAACCCTTCCTATTCATGTACCCATCCAGATGCCTTTTAAATGTTGTCATTGTACTAGCCTCCACCACTTCCTCTGGCAGCTCATTCCATACATGGGCCACCCTCTGTGTGAAAAAGTTGCCCCTTAGGTCCCTTTTAAATCTTTCTCCTCTCACCTTAAACCTATGCCCCTCTAGTTTTGGATTCCCCCACCGTGAGGAAAAGAACTTGACTATTCACCCTGTCCATGCCCCTCATGATTTTATAAACTTCTATAAGGTCACTACCCCAGCCTCTGGCTCTCCAGGGAAAATAGCCCCAGCCTATTCAGTTTCTAATCTCTATGCCAGGCATTAAGCTAACTGGCCTATAGTTATCGGTGTATTTTTGTGTGTGTGGGCAAATTGGCTTTTGCATTTCAAATACAGACCACACTTTTACAAGAACTTCACCACCTCGAGATCAAGGAGTCAGGAAAGCTACAGAAATCCTAAATAAGTAAGAACTGCGGATGCTGTAAACAAGTTTCTGAGGAAGGGTCACCGGACCCGAAACGTTAACTCTGATTCCCCTCCACAGATGCTGCCAGACCTGCTGACAGCTTTTCCAGCAATTCCTGTTCTTGCGGTCCACAGAGATCCAAATCAGACTTGTCCACGTTCCACTCCACCACTTCACTGACCCCACCCCTGCAAATAAAACCCCATGCAATTCCCCCCCTCCACCCCCGTGAAGTAAGGCACAGAGAGAAACGGGGCAGAGGATAAAGGAGATAGCCTGGGAACACATTACCGCCTTCGCTTGTGTACTATGTCAATGGGCCGGTTGACAGAGCGGGGAGATCCGTTGCTGCAAGCCAGTCTGGGGACTCTCTCTCCCGCAGGAAGGAGCCCGCAGCTCCCGGACAGGCTCATCTGCTGTTGCCGAGCCCCTCTCCTCCCTCTCCCTGTCCCTCTCCGCCGCAGCTGGGACCTTTCTGCTTCTTTTTCCTCAAAACTCAACGTGGGCCATGACCGATGGTGTAGAAGACACAGCACTTCCTGCAACCCCGCTCCACTGGCTGTAACGGAGGCTTGGGGCTTTATATGTTCAAAAAAGAAAACACAATTCTCTCAACTCGGAGACCACAAACTCCTAGAGTCGATTCTCCCTCCAACGTGCATGTCCCTGTCAGCCTCCTGTTGCCGAACAGCCTGAGCCAGGAGATTGAGACAGTGAGCCCAGGCTGGGAGCTCGGTGCGTCATTGACAGTGGGTGGACTCTCTCTCGGTTCACCCCCACCCCCCTCAAAGTCTGCATCCGCCTCCCTCTCAGTGCCCAGGGCCATCCCCAGCCTCCCCGCCAGCTCAGTGCCTTTACCCCCAGCCTTGTATTCGGTCTCACTCTGAATGGGAGCCTCATATCACTGCCTTGTGCTTCCCTCTCTGTCTTCTCCACTTCTCAGATCTCTCGCTTTCTCTCTCTCACCCCCACCCCATGCTGGTTAGACAACTTTCTGTCCATGCGACCGCATTCATTCATGCTTTTCCACACACACACACACACAGAGACACAGAAACAAACACAGACAGACACGCACAGACACACACAAAGACACAGGGTCACAGAAACACAGAAACACGCACAGACACAGAGACAGAGACACAGAAACATGAAGTCTCATGACTTCAGGTTAAACATGGGCAAGGAAACCTCCTGCTGATTACCACATACAGTCCTCCCTCAGCTGATGGATCAGTCCTCCTCCATGTTGAACAACACTTAGGGGAAGCACTGAGGGTAGAGTGGGTGCAAAATGTACTCTGGGTGGGGGATTTCAATGCCCACCAAGAGTGGCTCAGCAGCAGTACTACTGATCGAGCTGGTTGGGTCCGAAAGGACAGAGCTGCTAGACTGGGTCTGCGGCAGGTGGTGTGGGAACCAACAAGAGGGAAAAACATACTTGACCTCATCCTTACCAATCTGCCAGCTGCAGTTACATCTGTCCATGACAGTATCGGTAAGAGCGACCATCGCACAGTCCTTGTGGAGATGAAGTCCTGCCTTCACATTGAGAACAACCTCCATCGTGCTGTGTGGCACTATCACCTTGCTAAATGGGACAGACTTCGCACAGATCTAGTAACTCAAGACTGGGCATCCATGAGACGCTGTGGGCGATATACAACAGCAGAATTGTACTCCAGCACAATCTGTAACCTCCTGGCCCGGCATATCCCCCACTCAACCATTACCATCAAGCCAGGGGATCAACCCTGGTTCAATGGAGAGTGCAGGAGGACATGCCAGGAGGGGCACCAGGCATACCTGAAGATGAGGCGTCAACCTGGCGAAGCTACCAAACAGGACTACTTGCACACCAAACAGCGAAAGCAGCAAGTGATAGACAGAGCTAAGCGATCCCACAACCAATGGATTAAATCTAAGCTCTGCAGTCCTGCCACATCCACTCCATTGAGACCTCTCATCACTTCATCACCTCAATTAAATCACCCCTCAGCCTCCAAGCTCAAACCAAACCAATACTCCTTCACAACAAACTCTCTAGTCTAGGCAACATCCACAACATCAGGTATCCTCTCTGGTGCAAGCACATACTATGTGTATCTCTATGTATGGAGCAAACACAGAGAAACTCAGCAGGTTGGACAGCATCTGTGGAAAGTGAAACAGAGTTAACACTTTGAGCCTAGTGACCGTTCTGCAGAACTGAAAGATGTTGGAATGGAGGAGGATTTCTTTAAAAACTGATAAAATTCCAACTGGACTAGATAGGGTAAATGCAGGAAGGATGTTTCCAATGAGCAGGAAGACCAGAAGCTCGATCTAATGATACAATTTAGGACTGAGATGAGGAGAAATTTCTTCACCCAGAGAGTGGTGAGCCTGTGGAATTCTTACAGAAAATGGTTGAATGAATGAATGAATAAATGAATGATTTTATTTTCACAGTGAAAAAAAAAGTAGAATACAGTGAAAAGCTTTTTCAACTGTTGCCATGATCCAGTGCTATTTTGAATAGTTTTAGAAATAAGAACGGAAAACAGAAAGATGTAGCTTGAAGACAGTCCAAAACATAGAACATCTTCAAGAAGGACTTAGGTTTAGTTCTTGGAGCTAAAGGGATCTAAGAGTATGGGGACAAAGTGGGAACAGCAGACTGCATTGGATGTTTGGCCATGATTGTATTGAATGGTGGGGCAGGTTCAAAAGGGCTGAATGGCCCACTGCTGCTCTTATTTTCTACGTTTCTATGTTTCTCTCATTATCAACCTCCTCCTCCCTTCTCTAAATGGTTCTCCATATTTAATCTGTCAGAAGCTTTCATAACGTTGAGTTTATTGAGGCAGCCTGCTCCAAGGAGGAACATGACCACCTTCCCCAAATAACCAGATGCTTCATCAAAGTCACGTCCTTTCTAGGCTCTCCTTCACACAGGGAGATGAGCAGAAACCATGTGGTGACAGTGACGATCCAGAATCCTGGCTTCAGATTCAAACCACGGGCCTGAGGAAATTCATTTCCCTGAGAATGACAATATTTACAAGCACAGGCCCGTCAAATCGTGCCACAGTTTGAGACCAGTCAGGGGGGAGGTCAGGATGCACTTCTTCACAAAAAGGGAAGTGGAAATCTGTACTCCCCCCGGCAACCTCCCAAAGAGGCATGGGGGGGTGGGGGATGCGGGGTGTGGAGGAGAAGGGAGGTGTGTAAAAACATTAAAAGTGATATAGATTTGTTGTGGGAGGGTCTTAATGCCAGCTAAGTTCATGGGTTCAGGTACTCATTAACTACGATCCAATAGAATTGTAGATTAGGATCGGGGATTGATTGGCCTCTTCATGTATTCAGACACTGCCTTTGTTCACCCTTTATTGTCTCTGTAATCTCCTCCAGCCCTATGCAGGACATAAACAGTATACAGTGACAATCAACTTACCATACAAGTCCCATAATACACACGTCTCAGGGTACATAGTCAGCCAATGGTAGCCCCTCGCCCATTCCCCACTTCCATGGCTCTACTGCTGATGGCCTTGTGCATGGTTACCTCAGCTCTAACCTCTGGATCTCCCTCCCTGTATCTTCACTGTACTCCTCCTTTCTTCCTTAAAGAGATCCCATAAAACCAAACTCTTTGACCTAGCTTTTTGACACCTCACATCGTTAACATCTCCAGTGTCTGTTGTCTGATTGATTTTGTGGTAAAGGGGTGGCAGCTCAGGCTAACGGTCTAGGTTCAAATCCTACCTTGGCAGATAAAAAATCTTTAATTAACTGAAGGGTGACCACTTACATAAAACCCCATCTGGGTTTCTAATGTCCTTTAGGGAAAGAAAACTGCCATTCTTACCTGGTCTGGCCTACCTGTGACTCCAGACCCACAGCAATGTGGGTGACTATTAACTGCCCTCTGAAATGGCCTGGACAAGTTCTTCAGTAAAGGGCAGCCATGCCTACATCCCTGAAGGAATTTTCAAAATGCCTCACGCAATGGGAGGAGGGGATGAATCTTTGATGACCAGCACGAACACAGTGGGCCGAAAGGCCTTTTTCTAAGCTGCAAAACCTTTTATGTTAAAGGCGCTACAGAAATGCAATATTTTCCCTTTCCTAGTTCCGAAATGTGGGGTCAGGTAAATAGCGTTAGGAATCTGGGATGGACCAAAGATCCGTGTATGTGGGGACAGGGTCTGTGTACACCGGACGAGGTGAATGCGACCGCCACCCTTCCCCGCGCTCCCCCAACCCCCACCCCACCCCACCCCACTCCACCCCCTCAAGAGCTGAGCTGGCTGCTTCCCCTATTGCATTCTCGCTGTCCCTCTTCAGGCTGTATTTGTGCAACATCGACCCTCACTCTCCTCAAAGAGTGGCCTCAGCACTTTAGAATTTTGCAGAGAGCTGGAGAGCCAAGCTCCCACACTAAGACACGCCTTAACGGTCTGCAGTGATTCACTTAAAGTCAATTGTTTACTGGGGCAGCTGTAACCTTGTTACCTTGAACTGCTATTGACTACACTCCCTTCCCTCACACTAAATACAGAGACCAGCACCATCCCTCTGTAATCAAACCCCAATCCCCCTCACTTCACACTGATCTCTGTCAGGACAGAAGACCCTCTGGCATTTAACACTGACCCTCCCCCACGACAGCCCAAACCCCCATCCACTTCCACCCTCAACACCCACTCAGCACCAGAATTGAGGCTTGCATTGCTCTAACGCCACTCCATATCTGAGAAAATCTCAAACTGCTTCCAAGCCAGTGAAGTCCCTTTTAAAGCCCAGCCCCTGTTGTATTGTAGGAAACAAGGTCAACCTGCGCACACAAGCTCCCACTAAAACAGCAATGCGACAGCAGATAGCTGATCTATTTGACCGATGATGGTTATGGTATAAACGCTGACTCTAGGACACTGCAGAGAACTCCCCACCTGGTCTTCTTTTGCACTGATGAGCTGAGCTCCTTCATCATTGAGGTTGGGGATATTTGTGGACACCCCCTTCTCCAGTGAGCTGTTTAAGTACCCACCACTATTTATGACTAGATGTGGCAATACTGCAAACCTTAGATCTGATCTGTTGGTTGTGGGATCGCTTAGCTCTGTCTACCACTTGCTACTTATGCTGTTTGGCACTCAAGTAGTCCTGTTTGGTAACTTCACCATGTTGACACCTCATCTTGTGGTATGCCTGGTGCCGCTCATGGCATACCCTCCTGCACTCTCCATTGAACCAAGGTTGATCCCTGGATTGACAGGAGTAGTAAAGTGGGGGATATAGAGCCAGAGTTATACAGCACAGAAACAGACACTTTGGTCTAACTCGTCCATGCTGACCAGATAGCTTAAACTGGTGTAGTCCCATTTGACAACATTTGGACCATATCCTGCTAAAACATTCCTATTCATGTACCTATCCAGATCCCTGTTAAATGTAGCTGTGGGAGCTTACACAGACACACACACACCGGACAGAGGAGAGGGAGACTCTGCCTAAGACACAGGGTAAAGGGTTGAATCCCCAACTTCAGCCCCTTGGTTTCTCAATCCAGATGGAGTCTCTGAGAGAGGGCAGCACTGTTTACAGGTGAAAAGTTAAACCAGGATCCCATCCACACTCTCAGGAGAATGTAAAAACTACCACAGCCCAATATGTGACAAAGTGCAGAGGA